AAAGAGTGCATCCATTCAGCAAAGTAATTTGTGGAAATTTATACAACTTCTGCTGTGCCAGGAGCAGCATATATAGTTTAGAACCACTTCCTATCCCTCAAGAGATAGAGGAAAAGTCAAGACCATATACATGCTTGGATGTCATTAATTGTCGATGTTGCTGATAGTTTTTGTGTAAGTGAAAGTCTGTTCGTCCAACAGTTTAATTGTGAAAACTAAGGAATTTTTCAATGCACCTTTGCTTAGATGGGTAGGTTTTATCTTTAGGCGATTTGGTTTGTGATTTATCTTCTGTTATTCATTCTTTGCCTAATTTTTGGAGGTAGAGTTCCAAGTTTGATGTACAGTTGCAGTAGTATGCTTATTTTAAAAATTAACCTGGCTAAAAAAAATATAATCTACAATGGTTCTTTAGATGTATGTGTTTATCTAAGTCGGTTCTTAACAAAAACTGACTTAGATGTATGTGTACATCTAAGTCGGTTCTTAACAAAAACTGACTTAGATGTATGTGTACATCTAAGTCGGTTCTCACTAAAAACTGACTTAGATGTACACATACATCTAAGTCAGTTTTATGAAAACTGACTTAGATCAACACATACATCTAAGTTGGTTTTTACTTAACCGATGTAAATATGTTCATTCATCTAAGTCGCCCTCATCTAAGTCGGTTTTAGAACCGATGTAGATATGACAAAATAACCGACTTAGAATACAATTTTTCTAGTAGTGACAGCAAAAGCAGAGTATATAGCAGCTGCTGAAACTACAAGTCAAGCAATATGGCTACGAAGAATACTAGAAGAAATGAGTGAACAACAAGATGGACCGACTGTTATATACTGTGACAACAGATCAGCAATAACAATGACAAAGAATCCAATTCATCTTCAAAGAACGAAACACAGCCATCAAATATCACTTCATCAGAGAAATAGAGACAACTAAGCAAATTCAACTTGAATACTGCTCAACAGAAGATCAAGTTGCAGACATATTTACAAAGGCACTACCAAGAACAAAATTTGAACAACTACGAACTATGCTTAGAGTTACCGAAATTTGCATCAAGGAGGAGTGTTAAATTATGATGCAAATTCTAGAAAAGAAAAGAGTATTCTAGAAACATAAGATAAGATGTATAAGAAAGAAAAAGAAAATTCTAGAAACATAAGAAAAGTTGTATAAGTCTCTAGAAAAATCTAAAAGAGTGTAAAGACTTGAAAAGTTTAGAAAATTCTAGATATTTCTACCATCATCTAGAGATGGAGCATCATGCCTATAAATAGGCAAATTGGGACTTCATTGTAATATCAACAACATCAACAACAATTACTACAACTACTACTACTCTCTCAATACAAATAAGTTTCTATTATTCCTCCAACTATTCCCTTGACAACTATCATATACTAACAGCCTATGAATTTTTATATAATCAACAAACTCATCCATATATTTTTGGTGCAATTTTTTGTCCCCACATATCTTCCTCATCTCCACTACATGTCTTTTATAAGTTTTTCCTTCCTCTTCCGACATCACTGATCTCAATGCTTTGGCCACTAAGTCCCTAGTGAACTCATCAAGCTCATTTTTGGCTACTTTGACCCCTACCTTTATCTCCTCCATTCTCCTAGCATTTAAGGATTGGTCATTTTTGAAAAGGGCAATATAATAAGTGGACACTAAACTTGAAGACTCTCTATCACTGAACTCCAACCACAGTGAGTCATGAATCCCCCAACACATTTGTGTGCTAAAATCCTCGCTTGTTTAGAACCCAGGAAAAGGGAAAACCAGATAGTTCTAATCCCATAGCAATTTCAGTTAATTCTTCATCACTTAGTGTCACCTCACTTCCAAATGCTACATAAATCACTGACCCTTTTTCCTGTTTATCTAGCCAATTAAGTATGCTATCCCACTTCTCATCCTTGCTCTCTTCATTGAACTCTAGTGAAGGTGGCAATAACCCAATTGGAATAACTGTTTTCCTACTTATGGTTGGAAGCAATTTCAGACTCACCTTCAATCTCCATGCAGCTTCTTACAGCTATCACTTCAACACCCTTCAGGATTTCTGTTAGTCGAAACAAGTCTGAAACCCCAGATTCATTTTGCACAGCGTGGTCATCAGCAAGAGCTTTGTCCTCAGGAGATTCACTTGTCTTTCGGATGAAAAACAAATCCAAAATGGAAGACAAAGCAAATGCACTAAAAATAGAGAAATAGATGCATGAGATACCTAGCTTAGAAGTTATTGGGGGCAACCAGTGTGGTGCAAAGTCGCATATGATCCAATCAGGTTTGCATGTCTCCAGAAACTTCATCAAAGGTTGTTCTAAACCATCAAAAGCCTTCTTGAGGTATGGAACAATGTGGAGAGGAACATCCATTGTGGCCTCTGCATTTTGAGGGAGCTTTTCAACATGGGGAAGTGGAAGTTCTATCAGATCCACCAAAGCTTGTAAATTTTGGGGAACTTTAGGGAGGCGATGGATGTTTCTAGGAGTGGAAATGAAAGAAATTTTGTGACCCTTTTGAGCTATGAGCTTTGAAAGCTCAAAAAATGGGCTTATGTGACCAAAGGCTAGCCATGGAAACACAGCAATGTGCAGCTTCTGGTGCTGTTCCGCCATGGATACTAATGAGTAATGATTAAGCTTGCTATGTTCTGTGACTTATTTACTATTGCTGTTTTCCTCTAATGTACGAACAACATCAATTATGCAATTATATGGATAAAATTTCAGATATTGTATACTTTCTCTATAAAGTTACAGTATACAGTTTATATAACTTTATATTTTGATAATATTATAATTAGAAAAATTCTACGGTACCTATATTATTTGAAAGGATATCAGTACAGTTATAATTATAATTATAATTTTATTTTATATTTTATAGTTTTAATAATTTATTTAAATAATATTTATAATATTTTATTCTTTAAAATTTTAAATTATTTAGTCATTATTTTATTTTTATTTTATATATTCTAATTTATTTGTAACAATATTATTATATATTTAAATAGTTTAATTTTAATAATTTTTTAAGTATATTTTTATCTTTTTACTTAAAATTTTTGAATTTCTATATTTTAATTTTAATAATTTTTTAAGTATATTTTTTGTCTTTTTATCTTAAATTTTGAATTTCTATATTGTAATTTTAATAATTTTTTATTTTTACTATTTATTAATTTTTTTTAATATTTTATAATATTATAGAAATCTTATAATTTTAATCTCTATAATTTTATCTTATTTTTTATTTTATAAATATAATTTAAATTATTTATTTTATAATTAAATTAGTTATTTTTTTTTATAATTTTTATAAATTTACATAAAAGAATGTATAAGCTCTTAATCTTTGAGGATACCGTAACAATTTTTTTATAATTATGTAATTATTGTGATGCCTTGACTTTCCTTGCATTTGCTATCTAGCTGGGTCCCCGAATGTGATATTTTGGCAATGAAGGATCGCAACCACAAGTGACTAGTGACTACAATAATACACGTACAATCTGCAAGTGTCGAAAGCAAATTTTATTGATAATTTTTATTTTAATATTTTAGTTAATAACATACTTTAAATTTATATGTCAAAATTATTATAAATATATATAAAATAAAGTGTTGAAAGCAAATTTTATATATAATATATTATATAATTTAATAAATACATTATAATATATAATATAAAATTATATATATTGTTATTGTACATATATAATATAATGTATAGAGAGGAGTATCATGTAAAACAATTAGAGTCGATCTCATGATGGAGATTGGAATAGTAAGGACAAGATCTTATTATTTTACTTAGCTCAGCTCTTCCTTAAGGATAAAAAATACGGTAGATTATCATGATAAAATCACTACAAGAATTATAATTTTTAGTGATAATAATTTAGTGACAAAATGATAAATTGACAATAATTATATATTATCTATGACTAATTTTTATTTTATCATTAATATTATTTTTAATAATGACCAAATTATAAATTCTGACTATAATTTTATTTTTAGTGACAAAAATATACATGTCATAAATAATTTGTCAATGATAGTTTTTTCTCTTATTTTAACATAATAAATATAAAAAAAAATTAAATACCTATAGAATAATAATCATAACTGACAAAGTAGTTTTCATAAATATTATTATATTAAAAACTATTACAAAAATAATCACAAATTCATCGTACATACTAAAATGAGAAGAAAAAAAATCAATGTCCTGACACAAATAAATTTAAAATATTTGGGTCAATAGTAATTCGTCACAAATATTTAATATTAATAAATTTTAGATTAAAATATTTTGTACAACTAATACAGTTTTTTAATGCAAAAGTTTACAAATTCATACACTACTAGAATTTCTCTTATTACAAGCGACTTCTTCTGTGAATTTTGTATTAAAATTTGCGGTAAATATTATTCCTACGAATTTTTCTGCAAAATTTTATCTGCAGGTAATACCTTCGTGGATAATATGTTTTTTCGAATTTTAAAATTCGCAAAAAAATTTTCTTCGAAATTTCTTGGGAAAAAATTCGCAAGAAAGTTACCTACTGTACTATCCGTACCGCGAAGCCGAGCTCCAGCTCGGCATCAGTGCACAACGACCTCGGATACGCACCTCTGACACGCGCTGGGAGACCTAGGCTAAGACGAGGTCCGTTACCTGAATAGGTCATAACTGATCTCGGGCCCAAGGCCCAACGAAACCCTAATTCACACAAAGGTACGTGCATTACTTATACGAGACTCATACGCCCACAAACACTAACTTTAGCATCAGAGTCTCTTTTGCAGGTACCACCCCCATTTTGGAGCAACCAACATACCAACGAAGGAGGCTCATCGATCTTACCCAGCGGATCGTCCCCTACGACCGATCTCCGGTAAGAACATTTGGCGCCCACCGTGGGGCCGATCAAGACATCTTTTATCGGCCACGCTTATGGTTTTCACCAGAAGCCATATCAGACGCGCAACTGATGACCTAGATCACACAACTAGCATGGACAACGAAGCAGCATTGAGACGACTGATCGAACAGGTCGAGCAGATGCGGCAGGAACACACCGCCGATCTACAAAGCATGCGTGCCAAGCACGAAACTGACCTAGCAGCAATGCGTACCGCTAATGAAGCTGACCTAGCGGCTCTGCGCACAGAGAATGAGCGTATTCGCGCTCAACTCCCTCGACGCTCCTCTGATCAACCCCTTCAACCGAGTAACCAACACGAGGAAGAGGGGCACTCGGTTTCTCGGCCACCAATAGCGCATAGGGCACCGACCCCCCGACCTGCTACACACCGGTCGTACGCACTGACAAATAGGTCAGTCCATGAAGTCAGCATTGCTCCAGCCCAGGCTCCAAGTAATCGGGCAAGCATCCGCCGTCACCCCTTTGTGGACGGTATCATGGAGACACTTCTGCCCTTTGGCTGGAAGCCCCTCCACATCGACCGCTACGACGGCACGACGAACCCAGACGAGCACGTTGACCTATATGTCACACAGGTAAACCTTTACACTAACGACGATGCTATTTTGTGTAGGATTTTCCTGACCTCACTCAAGGGGGATGCATTGAACTGGTACACCCAGTTACCTGCTGAATCAATCGACAGCTTCGACACCCTGGTTAGGCTATTCACGGCACAGTAGGCCACGAGTCGACCTCACCCCGTCACCTCCGCCGCCTTGGCCAGTCTCAGGCAGGGCGACGATGAACTGTTGAGGGCGTTCATGGAACGCTTTGCCAACATCTCGATCAGGATTCAAAACCTAAATCCTGAAGTTGCCCTGCACGCCATGCTCATGGCACTCAAGCCCGGACCGTTCGTCGACAGCCTATGTCATGAAGCTCCTCGCGACGTGGACGAGCACCGCGCCCGTGCTGCTAGATCCATCCAAATGGAAGAACTTCTCCGTAGTTACCCCCGCACTCCATAAAGAGTCTATGTCCTCCGAAGTGCTCACATGGTCCAACAGCACCTGGGAGGAACCCTTTACAAAGCACTGAGCGAGATACTGGCTTCTAGGGCACTCCTTCGACGAGCCAGACGGCGGCGCCGAGCTTGCGGGAGTGGGAGTCGGGACCTCAGAGCTCAGCCCTTTTCCACGGTTATCGACAGAGGCAGAGGCAGGCGCCTCCTACTCGGCAACGGGCGGGGTCCGCCCCTGGCGCCTCCGAACTCGGAGGCACCGAGACCTCAGCAACATTCCTTGCCTGCAAAAAACAAGACTTTCTTCCTAAGGAAAAGGACAAGAAAAATAGAGAATAGAAGAAAAGACAAAAAGCAAGGCACTCACCTCGGTGGCCTGGGCAACCTGCTCAGCAACCTGAGCTCCCAGTAAGGTCGACCGCATCGACATCAGCGGCCTTGGAGGTCACCTCCTCAGCATCTCGAGGGCAGAGGTCCCCCCGACCTCCTTCTCCCGCCTATTTCTTTTCCTGTGCGTCTTCAGGGGGGCCACGTCCTCCTCTTGAGGCTCTGGGACCTCAATCTCGGCGACGTTGTAGCGGTGCTTCAACTTACGCCACTTGTTCCTGCCCATTATGCCTGCGAACACAAGAAATCAGATACATCAGTAACAGAAACTCCTACAAACCCTAAAAAGAAAGAAGAGGTACTCACTCTCTAAGCCCCTCTCCTTGTACGCCGAGTTGGCAAGCGACAGGATGAGCTTGCAATCCAGCGGACGAGGGAGCGCTTCAAGGTTTGCAATGGCGGTGGCATCATACGCCGAGTTGGCAAGCGACAGGACGAGCTTGCAATCCAGGACGAGGGAGCGCTTCAAGGTTTGCAATGGCGGTGGCATCCGAGGCCGACAATTGCAACTCCCCCACTCCGTGAAACCTAGCCGGGACCGGCCGCCAGTAGAGGGGGATCTTCGGTAACCCACCGAAATAGAATGCCCCATCCTCTAACGGGTTGACATCCACAAGCGCCACCCGGAAGAACTCTTGTTTAAAATTTTTGTACGATTGGGAGTAAAGGGAAAAAAGACCCCCAGCCTTACTCCCATTCAGGGACATAAAGCCATAAGGAGGAACACCCATTTTCAACTGGTGAAAATGGAGGAAAACGGGCAGAGACACCTCTATCCCCAAGGCCGAACACAGGACCTGAAAGGCCCGCAAAAAAACCCTGCTATTGGGGTGCAACTGGCAAGGAGCCGAGTTGATAAAATTCAAAAAGTCACACTCAAATTGTGTGAAGGGAAGACACACACCTAAATCCCTAAAGAAACACTGGTATACATAAAAGAAAGGAGGGTCAGAAGAACCCCCCATATAGACACGCTCATTGGGCCGACAAGGCTCGAGCCGGATGAACTTGGAGACGGAAGAATCACAGATCCTATGCGACTTTCGAATCGCATTGATCTCCATGAACGACCTGAACACACTCTGGCACTCCCCCACGTCACGCCTGACCCAGTCGTAGCCAGGAACGCCGGGGACGAGATCCTTAGGCGGGTTCTTCACCTTTTTCTTTTCGACAGTGGCCGTTCCGGTAACCACCGCCTTGCCGCGCGCCTTACCCTTTCCCTTGGCAAGCGTAGAAGATGTGGCAGCATTCTCCCTAGCCATCAAGAAAACAAAAAGACTCAAAGAAGGAAAGATTGGAGAAGAAAGAGAGAACAGGGAAATCGAAG